AATGCACACTTGAAGAGTTACGTACCAATTTTCCGAATAAAACTGACATTGTGAACAATTTTGCTGAACTCATAAAGTAACAATGGTTTCAGGTGACAAAAAGTGTTAAAGCACTACAATCAGCATAAATGTCATGACAGATTGTTTGGTTAGCTTTCTAACTAAGACCAATATATCTCTCAGATTGTCTTTATAATCTTATTATACCTGAAAAAGCCACGATAACCATCAACATGATATAAGGCTCGGATAATTTGAAAAGCAGGTCTCGATGACAATTTGGCCTTATTTCGATGAATATAATTCAAAACAGCAGCATGTTGAGGATCACCTGAAACTATTATTGCACATAATTAAAACTACCGAAAAAATTCGGGACTCACTACAGAACCTATATATTTCTTCCATACAACTAATGCCAAGCAAAGGTAATTAGGTTAACGTGGATGCAAAATGTAAGCTTACGTATCAGTACATTAGAATCACTATAAATCTACAAAAATTGTACGCATAACCGACACTCCAATTTTTTTTTTTTGAAACATTTTGAGTTGACGTGAAATCTTACCAATAAAAGCAGAGGGATTGTTGCAAACAATCATATATTGCGAAGTAATATCTGTTGGAACAAATATTATTTGAGTTAGGAGCGAAACAGTACCACCTTAAAGTATATTTCGTATTCAAAGGCATTACAGACTCTTATAACTCACTGCAGTTTATGCGTTTATCTAGAATTACTTTCATAATTTGACGAGATCTTCAGCATAAGTTTTGATGAAAGGTAGGTTTGTGCCATTTAATTCAATACATAGGAAAAACTAGTTGCTTACAGCCAGCCATTAGATGGAGTAAGCAAAATGGTTTAGCTACAAACAATTCTAAAACACAATCGAGTCGTTACTACATAAAACCGGATAATCTTGAAAGTACTTTCTTGCAAATCATCATCTGCTATCTTTTTCAATATGCTTCCCCATTATCTTAGAAAATGAGTGGAACAAACATACCAGCTAAGGAAGAAACCAATTTATCGGACGATAAGCCCAGATGAAATTTCAATGATTCACGTATTTTCTCGTAAGCATTACAGTATATTAGTGGCGCAATATTTTGAGGAACTGTCATTAAGTAACCCTTAAGTTAGAAAATAACTGTTATGATAACATTATAAAATGAAATGTGACATAAGCAATAACTCTCAACTCGATAAAAGCTCGAAATTAAATATATTTTTGCATAACCTATTGAATAAATATACAAAATATCATTATATCCATACAAATCTGCTGCTCCTACACAACGAATATTTATATGTGAGGGAGAAAATTAAATGACGGATACGATTTATGCTTAAACTTTGAATCTTCAAATGTATGCTGTAAAGGATAATGATCGATGCATGAAACGACTGTAAAGAGACCATGAAGGATCATTTTGTTTAATTCATCCGCAAATTAGATGGTTAGGTAAATCACAAATTATGAAAAACTTCAACCAGAATAAATTAAATCAAGAAAAAAAAAAGAAACGTACCCTATACAAACCACGTAAACCCTCATTTTGAATAATGTGTACTAACGCATGTTTCATTCCTTTGTAAACTGCATTTTGTTTTTGCAGTTGTAAGCGTGACTTGATAAAATTAAATGGATATATCAAGAAACGTATGCTGCATGATGACGTAAAGATATATGCTGATAAATTATATTTATCTAAATGCCTCCATTCGATTACTTCCAACTGAAAATTTTGAAAAAAAAAATGAGAAATCCTTTCAGTTATTGAAAATACAAAGAAAAAAAAGAAAATAAAAAACTTTTATTGAATAAAAAGAGAAAAGATTTTCCCACTGTGATAATACTTAACTTTATGATAGCACAATCTATATTTGATTTATTTCCATCAATTATTAAGGTGATTAGCTAAAGTTTGACAAACAAACTACTGTTAGAACCACCAACTATAGGATGGAACAGTTTTAAAGGTTATATGCCGTTGCTTACATTCTGGTTGGTCTAAATATACCTGAATCCAGCATGTTTAGTTATATCCCAAATATCAGCATTATCTGAATACCAAGAAAACCTAACTATTAGTTTAATTTCCGAACTCAAAATTATAACTTCTTAATATTTTTCCCAAAAAAAAAGAACGTCATACCCCATAGTCGGATTGAGCATCTGAATTCATATAAAATTTTAAATACCTCCAATTCGAAGTAGCGTAAAAAACGTAGTGGAACGTAAAACCACACTGCAACAACATCAAAATAACAATAATTAAGATCTCGATACTGTTAATAAACATTACAGTACTCATTGATATATCATCAGCATGTTACGTTGTTCATCACATTTAACAGTATAATTAAGGAAACCGCTTTATTTGTAGCATAATGACCATATTTGCATCCTTTAAAACCTCGTTCGGATATCCTCCAACCAATGCACTAATACAAATGACAGGCTTTTTTTATATATTTATTTTTCGTGTTCCACTTCAGGAAAGATATTTTTCACTTCCCAGTTACTAAATTAACAATAAGCAGAAATGTGCGATAGTTATGGAATTGCAAGAAAATGCAGCATTAAATGGAAAACGATAATGCCAAATATGTAAATAGAAAATCTAAATTACCAATTTCTTTATTTAACTGAATGATAGAAAAAAACATATACAAAGGATTACATCATGAATAGTCGGTTAGGAAAAAAAAGTAAAAGAAAACGTGCGTAATTCAAAAATTTTCGAAAATATTTTATTCCTCATTAGATTTGAACAAAGAACAACTGTTCAATTTACCCAGTTAGTTACATTTCCTAAAATAATAACAAATAGCCGTATTCATTTCATCAATGTTAGTTTCTGGATAAGGAATGCATTTTCGGTTCCCATAAAATTTTCCTCTCATTTACTATGATCGTAATCCCCAATAGCAAAAAATCTAATCCCAGAAACAATAAAAATACCAAAATATAATAAGGAAATCAAGCGTAGTAATACAAGGAGGCTTTCTTTTTCGCCTGAACTTCTAGAATAGCATCCATAAAATCTTCATGCATCACTTCAACAGCATCACGTCGTAGAGCAATCATACCCTGCAATACCGATATTAATATAAGTAGACAAAAACAAAATCCACGAAAAGTTAAGTTTGGCCCAAAAATTCTTTCCAAAAAAAATTCCTGCAAATTAGTATTCCTGTGATTATTTTTTTTTGTAACAGTTCAGGTTAGAGGATAACGTACATTATCACAACAGCTTGAAAGAACTCGTTAATCAAGCTCATTAAAATCAAAATGATTTTATAATAAACAACCTATTCCTTTTATAAACGAAAAATACCGATTTAGATGCTAGCTCTACCTGCTAAATTGGCTAAAAGTTGGAAAACTAATAAAAGAAAAAGCAACGTTACTTTGCATATCGCAAAGCTTGGATAATCAAAATGGATAAGTATATTATCTGAGCCCAACGTTATCAATATTTCTTTTAAATCACTAAAGAAAACATACCGCTTCAACGCAGACTGCTTTACACTGTGCTCCATTGAAATCATCCGTACACCGGGCTAATTCTTCAAAATTAACATCTTTGCTGAAAAAGACAATATTGGAACATTTGTCCGTTTAACGAAATTTAAACCCATCAGTAGCCAATGACTCTAAAATGGCTAACAATCTGCAGATATCATTACATAAAAATATTAAATTCTCTTATTTGGGAACTCATCTACTTATGTGTATAGAAGCTGTTAGAAAAAGAAACTTCGATTAAACTGATTTGAATGAATGTATTAAGAAATATCAAAACTTGTCAAATCAGTGACTAAGTAATCAACAGAACTATAATTTACTTGAATTTTTGATCAAAACATTGCGAATTATATGTCATCAATTAGTCTGTTATATCGCGCCCTTGTTCAACAACGACACCCTTTCCTAATTTGGGCAAGAATAATGCCGATTTCTTTGTGAAACACACAGAAACAAACAAGTCTTCATCCTCATACACCATTTTCAGTTGAATAACTGATTTTTATTGTCAGTTGTTACCACATTGTCCTCTCCATACAAATTTGTACATTATGTGAAAAAATTGAGAAACTGCGAAAACCTGAAGTGTTCACAAAATAATGTCTGTAGCAATTAAAAGCTTACTGGACGTTCATTTTACGCGAATGAATTTGCATTATACGAGCACGAGCATCTTCGGTCGGACTTGGAAGCTCAATTTTACGATCCAGTCGACCGCTTCGTAAAAGAGCGGGATCCAAAACATCGACTCGATTTGTTGCAGCAATCACCTAAACCAAAAATTCCCAGATTTCAATTTCTGAAAAACTGCCTCTAAGTTGAAGTGTAGATGAATTAGTCTCATTACCTTTATATCATCATTGGGCTGAAAACCATCTAGTTGATTTAACAATTCCAACATTGTACGCTGAACTTCACGATCGCCAGCTTTTTCGGAATCAAAACGTTTTGTGCCTGAAATCTGTTATAGTGGAACATATATTATACATATATGATATCTAGGACAATATGTACGACACACTATGTAATACATGTACGAATTTTACTTTTTCTACTTCATGCTTTAAGAATAAACACTTGATATTACGGCACCATACAGTTATTAAACATATTTCTATGCTCAACATCCAACTTGAACTTGGATAAAATGATTGCCATAAGCTTAAGATTGGAGAAATTCAAAGAAGTATAGGTGGGAAAATTCTGGTGAGTTTGAAATTCGAATATATTTAACGTACATTCTCAAAGGGATCCAACAAAACGACAGAATAAAATTACTAGCACAAAAAGTTTCATTACCACAGCAAAATTAAACGTTAATAGTACCAATGGCATCCAATTCATCAATAAAAATAATAGCTGGCGCCTTTTCCTTCGCCAAAGCAAACGCATCACGGACAAGTTTTGCGCCATCACCAATGAACATCTGTACTAGCTGAGGTCCTGCTAATTTTAGAAATGTTGACTTTGTTTGAGCTGCTACGGCGCGTGCCATCATTGTTTTACCGGTACCTAAAGTTAAAAAAAAAACGGAAAATTATGCAACAAAATAACTTCAAATCACCATTACACTTCTACATCCTATTTAAAAAAAAGGTAACATTTGACGCAAATTAGAGCGAAATCGCTGTGATTTAATGAAGTCCTGTGTGTCATCATAAGAGAAGTTACAAATTAAATGAAAAATCGACAAATAAAAGATAAAGGACAGTAGGAAATTAATGAAATTTTCACCTGGTGGACCATAAAGTAAAACACCCTTCGGTGGATGTATTCCAAGATTCAGAAATCGATCCTTATGTGTCATTGGTAAAACAACTGCTTCAATCAGTTCCTGGATTTGCTTATCACAACCACCAATATCACTATATTGTTCGTTTGGTCTTTCATCAACTTCCATAGCTTTCACCCTCGAATCATATTCCGCGGGCAATTTTTCTAGAACCAAATATGAATCCTGCAACCTCAGCTTACCATTAAATAAAACGTCGTTAAACTATAATAAACAATAAAGAAGAAAGAGAAATAAAGAAAAATGTTGCAAAAAATCAATTAAACCATTTTGAAAACAAAAATTCGAAAATGTTCGAATATCAAAAACCTTTTTCAAAAAATTCAATAACGAACTTTATTTACTCCGACGAGATCACCAGGCTTTAGTTCTGATGGATCTACTAAGCCAACAACTGGAAGAAAGTATGTTGCACGAGTAGATGTTTTGATAACAGCACATTTTGTTTTATGTGCATCCAAATCGACATTTGCACCCTCGTCTTCCTGTAGCTCCTCCAAAAGTAGCAGCTCAACAACATTTGATACCAAATATGGCAGTGTTTTGTTCACCTGGAAAGTAAACATGAAGTGGTAATTCTGGAATTTAAGAAATAAAGACTTAGATTTTCATTTTAAATGGCATGATTTAAATGACATGTTTAAACGCAATACGACGAATAGCCTACCCACCTTGATACGCTCAGTGTTTTCTTTGACGTGAGATGTTAACGTATCTATCGCATGACTGATTCGCTGTATTTCAGAGCGCATGATACGAATTTCGTTTTCTACTAAATGTGTTCGACTCTTCAGATCATCCGCTGACATTCTCAAAATCTCCTCATCCAATGGTTCCTGAAATTATATTAGTTCATCACATCGATTTCATAATTTTATCGACCACCGTTCGTCCTACATTCCTCGAATATTTATATGTTTTTGAGTACGTTAAATTTTTACGATCCAACAAAAAACAAAAGGAATTACTTAGCTCTTGCCTGCAACGAAGAGAAAATTATTGCATTTAAATCTTTAACGGTAGCAAGAATAGGACACTCGACCTGATAAGGTATCACCAGTATAAAGTGCGTTTACACAGTAGCTTAATAGCTAATTTGCAGTAACTATAGTACAGTTTACAGCAGGTACAGTATTACAGCAGTCGGTTTTCTCCCGAGATGATTCATTGCGTTTATGCCAACTTTTGTATATTTGAACATAAAAATGAGCATGTGATGCTAAATTTCACATTTCTTTCATGTTATGCAAAATCGATTTTCAAGAGTTTGATAATAAAAACAATATTTTACATACTCGTAAAATATTACCTGGACCTATCAAAATTGCTGAAATCAATAATGACAGTTTTCAAATTTGCAAAAGGAAATGTTAAAGAATTGATAATCTGAACTTACATCTTCAACTTCCATTTGGTCCTCCTTTTTCTCTGTTCCATCAGTAGCCGCTTTAGATGCTTGCTGCTCACCTTGAGTGGAAGACATTTTGTTCAATTCTGGGAACGCTAAATTCAAATGGCAAAATATTATCATTACGTAGTGCCAAAATCTACTATCATTTATCAAAAATTATTTCGAAATTAATTTTGCAAGCTTTCCGCACAGAGAACTTATTAAGTTATATGTAACTTGTCACATTATATGTAACTTATTGCATTCAGTGTGGCGTACTAATTAATGCAAATGAATCGAATTAACGCAAGTCAAATTAACAGAACGCTAATTACTATAATTAGTATAACTTAACATACGGAATGATACATCGTGATAATTAAACTAGTATTCAGATATCGACGATTACAATTACCCTAAGTAACACTTTAGATTCCGTTCATTTCATCTCTAACTTGGCACGAATCCACGAAATATTGCAGCTGTTGCGGAACACGGTGATTTCAAGTTACAAAAAATGAAATTTTTGAAGTGTAACTCGTTTGTGACAAATTTTGAGACTAAATGGCTTGAATTATTTGTCGGTGTTGAGAGAAATAACAATACGATTAGAATTCATTATTTAGACTGAGTAGTTGAGCCAAGTAACTAACTGGGACTGAATAAGTTGAGCCAGATAACTCACCAGAACTAAATAAGTTGAGCCAAATAACTCACCAGAACTGAATAAGTTGAG